GATTGTCACACGTACCGTCTCGGGTGTGTACGATCCATGTTCGTGTGTGGTTTGTAGATTCGAAATTTGATTGAGCCTGCGCTATGTCCAATACGACTAATCCATCTTTCAGGATTAGAAGTGTGCTCTGTTGTTTCGACTTTATTTTAGTCTCTTCAGTCATGGATAGGTCCGAAGACCACCATGAGACAACAGTAAATGTGATTTGCGTGGAACGTGTTCATTACGAGATTCCAGCATTCACTGGGCAGTACGAGCGTTCGACTCGCTTTTACAAACTCTGTGTGACAGTGGAAGAATTTAGCAATCCACAATGTCAAGAGTGCCCTACTTTTCAAATTTTCACAGAGACTATGTATATTTATTAATTATACCTCAATTAAGTTTAAAATGACTTTGATTAGTCATATCGAAATTCAGAAATGTCTACTAGAGACAGCTGAAATTGGGTTCCAGATTCCAGGAACCAATCAGCATGCGATGACAGATTTCAGTCATCCAAAGGCACTGGACGTGAAAACAAATAAACATCAAAATTGATGAGTCCGTCCACAATAATTCAAGAACAATGAGTAATAAACATATTTTGAAAGAATAAAGAAAATCGTGCCAAAGGGATAGGCCAGCAATAGAAATTTAAGGTAATTTATTGTTCTATTGAGGCAGATTTTAAATAATTCATTAAATTAATAAATAATAATATTTTTTATCGAAATGGTGTTAGGTATTGTTTATTAAGGTGTAACTAACATGTATAAACGAAAAAGTTGATTTTTAGTACATTAGGTTCTTATGGAACCGAGGTCACACCAGCTACAATCAAAATGGCCTATCTCAGCTATAAAGGAGTGGGCTAACCTAGGCGACGTGTTTTCTAGTTCGTAATGATGTAATAAACATATTTTGAAAGAATAAAGAAAATCGTGCCAAAGGGATAGGCCAGCAATAGAAATTTATGGTAATTTATTGTTCTATTGAGGCAGATTTTAAATAATGTATTAAATTGATAAATAATAATATTTTTTATCGAAATGGTGTTAGGTATGGTTTATTAAGGTGTAACTAACATGTATAAACGAAGAAAGTTGAGTTTTAGTAAATTAGGTTCTTATGGAACCTAGGTCACACCAGCTACAATCAAAATGGCCTATCTCAACTATAAAGGAGTGGGCTAACATAAGCGACGTGTTTTCTAGTTCGTAATGATGTAATAAACATATTTTGAAAGAATAAAGGAAATCGTGCCAAAGGGAGATAGGCCAGCAATATAAATTTATGGTAATTTATTGTTCTATTGAGGCAGATTTTAAATAATGCATTAAATTGATAAATAATAATATTTTTTATCGAAATGGTGTTAGGTATAATTTATTAAGGTGTAACTAACATGTATAAACGAAAAAAGTTGAGTTTTAGTAAATTAGGTTCTTATGGAACAGAGGTCACACCAGCTACAATCAAAATGGCCTATCTCAACTATAAAGGAGTGGGCTAACATAAGCGACGTGGTTTCTAGTTCGTAATGATGTAATAAACATATTTTGAAAGAATAAAGAAAATCGTGCCAAGGGGATAGGCCAGCAATAGAAATTTATGGTAATTTATTATTCTATTATGAGGTCCATTCCAGGCTGCATAGCTACACTACTAAAAAGTGGGCTAACCTATACTACGTCATTTTATGTTCATAACAATGTGTTTAACACATATCAAAAGAAAAACGAGAAAAAAAATTAAGAGGAGATGCCAGCAATAGGTTTTTACGATAATTAGTTAGTAATTTTAGGTAGTTTATTAGTTTGTATTAATATCAAGGTGATTTCTTTATTAATAAGCTTAAAAGTGCCCAGTATTGTTCAATACCAGATAAATAATGTAAATAGAAATTTAGAACATACATTTTTGTAATAGCATCGGCGTGCAACCGAGGTCACACGAAGTGCATTCCAGGATACATAGCTACACTATTAAAGAGTGGGCTAACCTAGAAGAGGTAATTTTTTTTTCATAACCATGTGTTTAACGCGTATCAAAAGAAAAACTGAAGAAAAATTTAAGGGGAATTGCCAGCAATAGGTTTTTATGGTAGTCAAATAGTAATTTTAGGTAATTTTTCATTTGGATTCAAATCGATGCGGTAACTACTTAATTAGCTAAAAAGTGCTTAGTGTTGTGCAATATGCTCTACATAATGTAAATAGACATATAAAACATGAATTTTAGTAATAGCGTCGTCGTGCAATCAAGGTCACATGAAGTGCATTCCAGGCTACATAGCTACACTAGTAAAGAGTGGGCTAACCTTGAATACGTCATTTTTGGTTCATAACCATGTGTTTAACATATATCAAAAGAAAAACGAGAGAAAAACTTAAGGGGAACCGCCAGCAATAGGTTTTTATGGTAGTCAGCTAATAATTTTATCATTTGGAAAAAATTGAAGGTGGTTACTACTTTAAATAACCTCAAACGTCTTTAATATTGTCCTTTATTCTCTAAATAATCAAATAGTAGTTTAATTTCATTCAGCGTATTGTACAGTTTTATACATACATATTAGTCAACCTTCATAATCAACGCTGTGCGTGTACCGCCAAACACCATCTTTGCCGTGTTTCGCCAAAAAAAGTTCCCGCCACTTGATATTTTGGAGGTTATGTCAGCTGCTTTGTGACGAATCCTGCTGTGACGCCATCATTGTTGTGACGTTTTACTGTGACGTATATTCGTAGGAGGGGCGGTAGGAGAAGTGGAATGGGTTATTGCTGTTCTATTGCCAGTTTCACGCTGATTGTAAAAAGCATGCTAGTTTGGAAACTCCCTTTGATTAATCAAAGATTGTGGATTAATAATCAGTATTTATAAACATATCAATTATAAAATAAAACTATCATAACCTAACCTAACCAACCAAACTTGCTGATGGTTAAAAAATGGCATGAAGGTTTACTAATCGAATCGATACTTAGTTTCAATCGTTATTAGCATAGCCCAGTTAAGAAACTGTATCGGTACCCGTTGTCTTTCTTTTGTATTTATCGTACCTACCCTAGACTTAAGTTATGGAACCAAGTAGGCCTAGGCCTATAATAGCTTGAGGTAACACTAAGTACTTACCTATTTTCTGTCCGAACGTTTCAGCAAAAGCCAGCCCAAAATCACAGTCAGCAAAAGATAGGACAAGTAAATAGATGAAGAGATATAAAATGACAAATAGACCAATCAAAGTAAAGACATCCATAATGCTTAGATTCGGAAAAAAGTTCTAAAGAAATATGTGATATCGAGAAACTATTAATTTTAATTAAATTTATAGAAGTATAGAAAATTTGATAACACCCATGGAGAGAAATTTTTATAACTGCACTCTTTTATCCAAGTCAATATCAATCAACCAACAACAATGTCGGTCAGATGTTTTGGGTCAGACAGAGACTAGAGACTGTACACACTTTATCAGTTAGTTAGTCGAAAAAATAAAGAAATGAAAAACGCAAGCGTGTACAAAAACAAAATAACCAATGTGTGAACCAAACACAAACACAAACGGAAACGATATCGATATCCCCTCAATTGAAAGTTTCGAAAGTTGACACGACCTTAAACTGTTGATAGTAACAGCGTCAGCTGTTCACAGGCAGACAACAGGTGGTTTTGGTTTTGGGTTTTTGGTTTTTGGTAAATTGAGGTCAGGCTCGTGGGGTGGCATAGCTTATAATGTCATAGCTTATAATCGTGAATTTGTTCCATAGCTTATAATGTTGAAAATGTGGCATAGCTTATAATCAGTTATAAGCTATGCCACACTTTCACGAAAAATTATAAGCTATGCCACAATTTCTCTAAAACGTTATAAGGTATGACACATTTTCTGTTTCACAACTTATAATGGTCAAATAGTGGCGCAGCTTATAATTCCGATTCTGTTCTATAGCTTATAATCCTGATTTTGAGTCATACCTTATAATCCTGATTTTGGGGCATAGCTTATAATTTTGAAGAGAATGTTGCATTGTGGGAATGGCATCAGCTGCTCGCTTCAGTCAGGTCTACCATATATACGATATTTTATGGTAGGAGTAGGATACGATAATTATTGTAATTGACCGTACTGACAACTGCGAAATCGTAATTTATAACCTAAACATTTATTTATTTAAATGTTTTAAACGATTTTTATACGAGAAATGGCAACAATTACATGCTATATGACAATGAAAATGCAAGTAATATTTATAGTGAGAAGTTAAAAGATATGAAAATGAAGTGAAGGATAACGGCATTGAAAATTAATAAATCTTGTCAATACTCAATAGTCCGGCTGGTGTTGACAGAAGATAAAGAAGAGGAACAATAATTAAATTGTAAACATCAAAAAATTCCAAAACTATTGAGGTGTTGAAATCCAGTAAGTTGTGTTTTAATCCAATCTGTTCCTAGGCCTTGTGACAAAAAGTAACAAAATGCAGTAGGCTAAAATTTGCTTGAGTGTTATTAGGTTAAGTTAGTAGGTACAGTTGCCTAGCCTACTTAAGCTTAAGGTAGCTGTGACTCAAGTTACAGATTTCCTGTGACAGGCCTAAACAATTAACTTAATAAAAATATCAGTGAATGTATTCAACGGCTGCACTTTACTTGACGTCCTACACTCATTCACGATTGTTTTTTCTATTCGATATTTTCGTTCGATTGTTTCATTCGATATATCGTTTGGTTAGTTAGGTTAGGTTAACCTTACCTAACTAACCAAACGATATATCGAATGAAGCAATCGATATATCGATCAATATTTTCATTCGAATGAGTGTAGGACGTCAAGTAAAGTGCAGCCCTTTATTTTACGTCCTACACTCATTCGAATGAAAATATCTATTATTAGATTGTTTTATTCGATATATCGTTTGGTTAGTTAGGTTAGGTTAACCTTACCTAACTAACCAAATGATATAACTTATCTAATAATCGATACCGGTATATCGATTGATATTTTCATTCGAATGAGTGTAGGACGTAAAGTAAAGTGCAGCCCTTAAGTTTACGTCCTACACTCATTTGAATGAGTATTAAGTATTCGAGTAGGCCTATATTCGATATAAGTAGGCTATCAAGTTTGTATCATTTGTGTAACCTTAGAAATGGTAAGCGTGATAATACTGAGCCAAGAGATTTAACTTGGGTAGGCCTACAGTTTCTTAACTGGGCTACGCTAATTTAAGTTAATATATTTTACTGAACTACAGTATTGAATTAAAAATATTGATTAATAATAGATATTTTAAAATATACCTATCTAAGTTTATTATAAAATTAAATGATCATAACCTAACTTAACCAACCAAACTTGCTGATGGTGAAAAAATCGCATGTAGGTTTACTAGGCTAATCGAATCGATAGTTTCAATAAAATTAGCGTAGCCCAGTTAAGAAACTGTACCCTTTAACTTATTCTACCATCAATACTGTTAATACTATTCAATGAAATGGCGACGATACATATTTGGTAAATTTTAAGCCAAGTATGAATGGAAATTTAGTAGTCTATAAAATAACTTACAATAGGCAACGTCACAAAACTTAAGTTAGGTTAATTTCACACAGTAAACAAGGCAGCAAACCATGCAGTTAACTTATGGCAAAAAAACATGTAGGCTACCTAAGAAAATGAAATTGTGACACATACCTGAGTAGCCTACATGAATAAAATTACAAATTAGGCAAGTAGGCCTATGGGTCAACTTTTTTCATATTAGCCCACCATACTTACAATTGATTGTAATTGGCAAAGGCAAATATCCTTGTATTATGTTTCTTTCATAACCTAAAATCAAATGAAAATTCGGTTTGAAGGTGTAAGGCGGGATAAATCTGAATGAGTTCGCGAACTAGCATGATCGGGCCATGGGACCGGGTTTTAATGAGTTCTATGCAGAGAAGGGGCCTAGGCCAAAAAATGGGGTTTTCTCATTTTTTACCCTTAAAACACAAAATTTATCAATTATTCTCTAGACCTTTCTAAAGAAATTAAAAAAAAATAATATGTCATCTATGTATCGTGTTGTGTATAGTGGAGTCGTGGATTAGTTGTCCGCTTAACTGTGTGTGTGTGTAAGTGTTCGCATAAAAAACTCAAGCTAACCGTTGCACCTATAGTGTTAAAAAATTGCACGAATCTTAATTATGACACCAATGGAAAGACACCATAAAATTTAGACGATTCCGTTCAGTAGTAATTATAAAACCCTCAAAATACATTTTTAAATTTGTCCCATAAGAATAACATTAGAAGCTACCTTCTTCTACTTTTTATTTGTTTATGTTTTGCGACCAACAAAAAGCTTGATTTATATTTTAAACTATATAGATATATATAGGCTATATTTATTTTTATAAATCAAACTTGAAAGCTTTATTTTATACTAAGCTATTAATGTTTTAATAAAAAACACACTTTATTAGTTCCACCTGGGTAATGACACTTGGGTCCGAGAGAACCAGTGGCCTTCGAGTTTTTAAGTTTTTATCTACCAATCCAAATATTTGTACAAAGAAAATATGCCCTACCTTGAGCTATAGTTCTATATTCTGTTTTTACTTTTAACAAGAAGTAGGCCTGAATGATGTACACTGCCTATTTTTGTTCCAGGTAAATTTTCTTGTAAAGCTTGGAGCATTGCAAATGTTTGGTGTTAATGTATGAGAGTACTTCACATGTAAACAATATTGATGAAGTTGTCTGCTTATTTGGAGCCAAATAAGAAGGAGAGAAATTTTCTTGGAAAAGAATCGAAAGCAATAAAGATAAGTAAGTTTGGCTAAGTTATCAATATGATTAAAAAGCATTTTCAGTCCTTGTTTAACATTAACACGTTGACTGCTAACGCCGACTCTAGTCGGCGTCGCTAGCACTTCAATGTGGCGCGCGCCGACAAAAGTCGGCACCAGACCAACAGAAATATATTGAGTCAGTGTGAGCTTAGCCTCAGACGGAGACGTTATAATCGTTGCCAGCCTGCCAGCTTAGAATGCGAGCTTTACTTTGGTGTAGGTTGGTACTACAATTTCCCGTAAAATCCTGTCTGGCAATGCTTTTGTCCCGGTTTCGGGGATTTTTTCTCTTGAACCCACATTACAAAGACACTGGATACGGATCCGTGCAGTGCTGCTACCTTTGGGTGTTTCAGTGAACTACATCCACTCTCGGGGTAACGCAGCACAGTCACCACTGCTCTTTTGTGATTCGTCAGACTGAAATATTTGAATGCCAATTGCGTTCGCTGATTCGGTTGCGTGCCGGGGCTTCGCCCGCCACTGGGGAGCGCCTGTACGTTGTTTTCAGCAGTCATCGTGTTAACTTATGATGTGCTGTGGCGGTTAAGTTTTTATATTTGGAAAAAAATACACTTTAATCAACTTACAGCACTGTTCAAGTTTCAGAGTTACCTATGGTGACAGAATAATACAAGGCATGTTATTTAAGTAAGTACTGTTTTTAAATTTCTCCGTTTCAGTGCTGCGATTGGCATTTTGGACATTTGTGCTGTGTATGTGGATGTATTGGCAAGCCTGCACTGGAAATTCGGCACAAATCGGCTGTGTTTACATCCGGTTTAGAGCATTCAAAACGGTGCCGCCAATTGAGACTGCCGTTGCCTGTGAAGTTTGCGCTGTACCGGTAATTAGATTTTTAAGTGCTAAAGGTGTGAAAGCCATTTAAATTCATTGACAGATTAGTGAAGTGTATGGGGAGAAAATTATGAGTGGCGGAATTGTACCTACGCAGGTGGGTAAGGGCATTTAAAGATGGCCGCACCAACGTTCATGAGAAGCAACGCACAGGGTGGCCATCTATCAAATTGTCATGGTGATTTCCAGGATGTGAATCTGTTATCTTCGGAACCGGAGACTTACGCTGTACAACTACACCAGTCTAAATATGTGGAAAGATCAAGTTATTTGTTTATAGTTTATTGCCCCCACACAACTGGTAACAATAAAGTAGTTTCACATCTTTTTGTGGTAAAAAAATGTTAATACCAGCACAGAATTAAATTAGTTATTTTTCCCCAACACCCATTAAACCTTAGATACATCGATTGCTCATATGTAGGAGCTTGAACAAAAACGATCATACTAGTTTGATGAGACACCGTGCTTGTCAGATCATGTGAAATGAGAAAGGCTACTATCTTACTAATGTTATAAATGTGAAAGTTTGTGTGTTTGTTTGTTGTTTGTGTGTTTGAAGTTCAATCACGTGTTAATTACTGGATGGATTGGGCTCAAATTTGGCATGATGATAGCTCACATTCACGATTAACATAGGTATAGGCATATTTTTATCTCAAAAATCCTTTTGGGCTCCGCCTTAGTGGCTCTAGAGTTTCCCATGTTAACCTCATAAGGTACTCATATTTAAATGGAATTAAAGAATTTAGTCAGCTGTTTCAACTAAAAAGGTTGGTTCTATGATATGCAAAGGCATTAAAAGTTATAAGATTTACCAACAGGATGCAGCACTATTATTTTTTTTTCATTTATGAAAACAGCTAATTTGAACTAAGCAGCAACAAAAAACTCTGATACACAATGATAACTGTCTGTTTACAGTTATGTTTATGTTTTTAATTTCACGAATAATTTGTGATATTTTGTGAATCTTTAATAATTAATTTTTTTCTTTTGTTTGGGTGAAGTGGTAGAACATTATGGCTATGGTAGATGAGTAATACTATAGTCATAGACAATAGAGTAAATATAGACTGTCAAAGAAAGGTTTTGCGATCTGCCGCTAGAGCTTTTTGCCATTCGATATCAGTTATCGGTATTCGATTCAGTGTCGTCGTCGACTACTCGCCACTCGCCAGCTGTTACCAGCACTACCACTCTTGCAAACTAAATGATTACTAATCGCTATTGTCGTCTTCTGCAATCGCGTCAAAATCACGAACATCTACCGCGGCTGTGTAGACATCATCATTGAATGCCGTGGTCACGAAACGTCATCGTCGTCCTCGATTGCGGCAAAATTGTGAACATCTTCAGCAGCCGTATATACAATCGTCTTGCGCGATCGCAGAAAAGACGTGATCATTTTTCCCGTGGTCCGTGGTCACGAAAACGTCGTCTAGCACAGTCGCGGTTTAAGAACATCTCCCGCGGTCGTGTAGACACATCATCGTCTTGCCCCATCACGGAAACGTGATCGTTGTCTAGCGCGATTGAGTAGCGGTAAATCATGAAATTTACCGACTTTGATATCAAAATAAAGACTAAATCCCAACTTTTCCAGACCATTTTGAAATTCAATACTAATACCTGACTTTCCCGTTTTCCCCAACTACTAGACATCCTGGTTAAATTTAATTTTGACCTTGCAAATATAAAACAAAACCTTCCAATAAACCACTTCCTAAAATTATGGATTAATAAAGAAAAACTTTGAATCATTGTAATGAAACTACAAAAGTATAACAAATATATGTTTAAAAAAAATACAATAAAAGATGGCATTTAAATTAATTTATTGCTTAATATTAAATAAGTCAATAAACTCCAATTGTGGGGGATTAAAGTCCTCCAAAGTTGGCTACACTACTCCCAACTACCAAGTTGTTATGGAAACGGTTGCTAGCGCTTGATGCTGCAGCGGTGTGCGCCGTAACTACACATTACCCCTGGCGGTCGGCGCCGGAATATACACTAACCGCAGCACAGCTGGCCACTCTACTCCTGCCCAGTATGGTCAGACCTAGCATATGATTTTATATGATGAAGCCGTACTTGGGCTACCGCTGTATGGTTTCATCATGACATGTATTTCAATCATTCACTGGGTTATAATTCGTATGTATTTGAATGGATACATTTAATTCTTAATTGATAAAAGACTATGAAAACCGTTTAGTGCTCTTTGGTGTTCTATAGTGCTATGATGGACACAAGAGCGTAATCTGATTTGGTTCTACAGTACTTTACTTAACTTTAATTTTAATAGTAGCCTGCTGTTAGCAGGTTTGTGCTGTGCTGGGCAAGTGTGTGCAATATCCATGGAAAAATTATGTTGAATCCTCTCACCTTGTGCAAGGATCCTTTAAGTCAATCTCAATTTCTCTTGCAGAAAAGTCCAGGACAAATTAACCACCAAGCTAACAAGACACCCCTTTCTCTATTTAGTTCTGATAACAATTTTGAGTTATTGTTTATTTGTTTCAGGATATCATGACAGAAGAATGCAGAAGGGTTGCTCAGCTATTAACTTCGCCTTATAATCTTTATTTATTTCAATTGTGTTGTAAGAAGTATTTTTTAAACAGTAAAACTTTCTCCAATTATAGACTACCTATTATGATTCATTGTTGTGTTTTATTAAGGTCCCTACCCTTATCTAAGAAATATTTTATAAACCAAAATGTTTAATGCTGCTCGCCTATTATTCTTGATGAAATATTAAAATACACTCCATTATTGAGCCTAATCATATTGATTTTCACCTTTTAAAAAAGTAAGTAACACAACCAAGACCACCAGTCCTTAAATAAAAGTACTTCATAATCATCCCAGTAAGACATAGGCTAATGGATTTCCAAATTCCTCCCTAGGAGTTTATCTGCATCCGGACTTTGTGTCACCTCCGGATTGAATCCGGAATTTGACACCTCAAACTTTAAAATCCATCAAGCCGTTATTGAGTTATGACTGTGAAAAGAAAACTGCTTGCGTATTAATATATAGATTCTACCTCTCTCAGTGATAAAGGAAGCTTATTATACAGTTTGAGACCCATATAAAAAGTACTCTTTTCATAAGCAGCAGATTTATGTATGGGGTACTGCACACTGTACAACCTTTTTTTAAATTAGTTTATAAGATCTAACATATTGGATAAAGTTGACATCATTTGATAATTTGCTCAACTTATGTAGTTCTCTCTTTTTCCTACTTGCTATTATAATGCCTTTTGTTAGCCAGCTTTTGGTTGTTATCTCCTTGCTCTTTGTATTTACCAAGGGAAATGCCTATTCATAATGAAACATGAATATACCAAGAAAATGTTTATAAGCAGTGTTAGGATCAGAGATTTTAGCGCAGTATAAAGAATCCCAATTTTCATTACTGATTGAATCTTGGAATTTTAACATTTTTTCTTTCTTAAAACATCGCTTTTTGGTCTCAGTTTTTTTTTTATTTACTTTATAATTAATATTAGTCGATAAAATCTGATAAGTGTGGTCAGAGATGTCAGTATCTACAACTAAAGTTTGACAACTGTCTAAAGCTACATTAGTAAACACGTTATCTATACAGGTTTTAGAAACATTAGTAATCCTAGTGGGTTGTAAAATAATAGCAAACATGCTGTAAGATTCCATCAGGGATTTGAAATGCACTGTGTGAGGTTCTTTTTTGAAAAAAGAGCCATTTTTAATATATGCGTTGGGAGTCTAAAGTGGCTCTTTTACTACCTAGGGAGTAAAGAGCATTAGTCCCTATGGAGTTAATCAGACGGACAAATAAAGTGTCTACTAAAAGAGTCACCTTATGCCCTAGAGATGAAATTTTTCATTTTTTTCATTTCAAGTAAAACATGCCCAGCCGCTTATCCACCACATCCAGCTGTTTTCTTCATTACCAATAGAGATAGAGATGCATCAGGGTATATTTTAACAAAAATCGTCGAATAATCTATACAAAATTGAGCAAAAAATGAGTGTGAAATTTGTTTCACAAATAAAAATTTTCCTCTCTTCACGTAGTTGTCTCACGAAAATCGCGTTTGCAGAAGATAACGGCGACGTGTCTATAATACATGAGAAATAATCACAACGTTACCGTGATCGAGAGAGATAACCACGACCATAATCGCAGGATATGACAAAGACTGTTTACCGTGAAGTTCGTGCTCAGAGTTTTTGGTTGCTCACTAGAGAAGAGAAATTTGCAAATTTTCCTTGAACTTAGGGAAATTACTCACTGTAATCCAGTAGCTAAAAAACTTCTGCGTTTGTTTCAAAAATTGCATATGTTTGTGATATAGTCCTTTGGTTGGAGTAAATTGTGAAGCCTACCAAACCATGCTAGGTGCACGTTTTTACTGACATATACTGACTAATATTATAAACTAAAGGGTGGAGTGTAAATGTCATGCTTTTGGGAGGGGGGCATCAGGCTTGGTTTGGGGGGGGGGCATGCGCCATTGCCCTTGGGGGGGGGCTGGGCACCCCTGCTCACAATTTAAGACCAAAATGGTGATTATAGGCCTAACACATTGAGAGATATGCCTCTTCAAGGTTCATAAAATCTTCCATACATGTTTGTATTTTAAGAATCAAGTTATTCAATTTGGTCAAATTTTATAAAAGAGTCATAATAAGAATATAAACATTACGTAATACGTAATGTTTTTCACTCATTAAGTATGCTTTTTTTGTCCAAGTTAAAATTGTATTCCAATTTATATACTCTTTGTATAATTTAAAATACCATAATCCTATTCAAAATTATAAAATTCAAGCTTTTTTGCAATTTTAAAGTTGAAATCAGAAAATCTGTTACGCAAAATAAATGTTTACGTAATGTTTTTCACCTATTAAATGAGCTTTATATGTATATCTTATAGTTGTATTCATTTTATAACTCTTTATGCAAAAAAAAAAAAACATAATTGTATTCAAAATTATAATATTTAAGCCAATTTTTAACATTTCAAAGTTTAAGACAGAAAATTTGTTAGGCCAAATTAGTTAATTTACGCAATGTTTTTGACCCCTTAAATGGGGGTTAGTTTGAAAAAATACAATTATTTGTAATCCTTTTAAACACTCTTTATGCTATTACAAAAGCCATATCTGTATTCAAAATCATAGTATTAAAGCCATTATTAGGTATTCCTATGTTGTAAACAGTTTAATTTAAAATCAAAATTACGTAAAAATAAATAAATACCGTTCGTCACAGGCCTGTGTTCTATCCCCGAGAACCTTTTATTGTAACAATGTACGTGTGTGTTTATGAAGATAGATACAGATTTATTTCCATTTAAAAATAAATTGTTATAACACAATCTGTACTTGAAATGAAATAAATTTGTTTATTATGGTTCTTTTATAAAACTTGACCAAATTGAATAGCTTGAAAGTTGAATCTTAAAATACAAACATTTATTTTATTGAAACTTGAAGAGGCATATCTCTGAATGTGTTAGACATATAATTACCATTTTGGTATTAAATTGTGAGTATTTTAATGCAGTTTCAAAGTAATTATGGTTGTTTTAATGAAAAATAACGTTTAAGTCATGCTTTAGGGTTAACGTTAGCCAAACTTTAAAAAAATTCAAAATTTGGTAATTTTAGCCGTTGTTTGCGGAGTCATATCTTGAAAACTATTCGGCCTGTAATAACCATTTTGGTCTTATATGGTAGGTAATTTAATATACTTTAAAAATGGTTAGGGTTGTTCTTTATGAAAAGGTTACGCTTCAGGGTCAAAATTGGACAAACGTAAAAATAGTGCGAAATTCCATCGATTTTTAAGCTTTTTGGAGGTGATCCGGAAGGTCACCGAGGTCGAAAATTTGGATTTAGCATCTCGGTACTATTACAAACAACATAAAAAAAAGAAACCTACTACCCCATTTCATGCAAGGTAGACCCTGATTTTTATAACAAGGTTACTGGGTTAATAACATAAAGGTTCATCAATATTTTTCTTATTTCTGGTATTTTACATATGATAATAACCCCTACAAATAAGTGCCTGGAGATCATTTTTTACATGCACAACTGAAACAAAAACATACAAACTACAAACAGTCATGATTTCCTCATTTAAACAGAGATGTCTGAAAGGGGCATCATACTCAGCGTTTGCTAGGATTCTTACAGCTCTTTTTTTATTAGCAGTACATCATTAATTTCAGCAGACCCACCCCAGAGTCTGAGCCCATACAAAAGAACTCCTTGAAAAAAAGCTACATAGGCTTTTTTAAACAGTTTTTATTTAGACAACTTTTTAGACTTCTCAAAAGGAAGATAACTCTGGAAAGTTTACTGCAAACCAAGGTTATATGAGGGCTCCAAGTCAGTTTTGTATCAATGCAAATACCCAAGAGCTTAACAGAGGTCACATGCTGAACATCTGCTAGATAACTCTAAATTTAAACACAGAATTCTGACTGTAAATTTTAAATCTCGGTTTTTGTGTCTACTTTAGTTCTTGTCCTGTGACACTGACCGCTACATGAGAAGATCGTTTTATTTGGCTAAATGAAGGTGTAAACAGTAAAATAATAAGAAACAAATTGTAAACAAAACATGACCTCTATAATCTACATTGCACCGTACAGAAATAAAACTTCAATTTGGGCTTAAGCTGTTCCATAAGTATGACAAATCTACTAAATATGTTTTGATCATAGATCAAACATTAAGCCCCTTAGAAGATTTGTCATCCTTGTTGAAAATCTGAAGGCAATTTTATTGTTGATATTATATGCCGACTGTAGAGGTTGTGTTTTTTTACAATACGTTTCTTGATTGTTATTTCAGTTATTTCAAACCTAATTTGACCAAATAAAACTATCTAATCATAAAAATAACTGGTCTCCTAGTTATCTAACCAAACCGTAAAGCACAAATCTTAAAATTACCCTAATATAATAGAAACAATATTTCGTTTACACTAGCGATCAGTGTCGACATACATGAACTAGACACGAAAAACAAGCTTCAAAATCAACGATGGGATGAGAAGTCTACTTATGTTGCATAGTCTACGGTTTTATCTATGAAAAAGTATTTTTACACCGGTATTACACAATATTACAAAATAAATATTATAAAATAGTTATCATGCATAGCATAAATAAGCAACACGAGCAACATCAAGCTTATGATAATATATTTCAGCTTACGTAATTAAAGTAAAAAAGAAGATACAAAAAGTTATTCTATTATTCAACATAAAACCATTTCATATATAGGCTACATCTATTACATATGTCGTCCAGGAGTAGAAAAAAATTGAAATACTTTTGGTTTTGCTACGTTGGCTGCACTTAACGCAACTTCTTATTGGGAGAGCACAAGTTCACATGTACAGAAACCTTATACTGACGTCATAAATATCGAATGTATATATCGATTGTACCGGGTGGTTACGGGTTTTTCTTCGGAATGTAAGTATCGGTTGCACCGAATAAGTAAAGGGGTTTTTTTTGTAACACTTTATTTGACGAATTGAATACTCTCGGTAGTTTATCCATTATAAATCAAATAGTAGAAATACAATAATATTCGTTACAGGCTGGGAATAAAATAATTACTGATACTTTGGATTGAACGTCCAAAATGTTTGCAATTGTTTTCGTATTTACCTGACTTATAAAATAAAAAAAACTTGAGTTCACAGGACGTTGAATACTAAGAATTTATTTCATAGCATCCACAATAATACAATAACTGTAATTAAAGTAGACGAATTACAGGAATTATTATCGATTCTAGAAGAGAGTGAAATAATAATTGTAACTTTGACATGTTAACGTTAATGTTTGGGAATGATTTACTAACAGATATTGCCCATCAGTGTAAGGTGACAATTTAAGAAGCCCAAGAGGACTGTTTTAGATATATTATTTTATGGAATTTACAGTCACGTAAAATAGGTCAATGGTTTAGGTTTACAGAAAAAAGTAGAGCTTTTTTCTCATTTTCCCCTTTGGTACATCTTAATAAAACACCATAAGTTTTACCCAATTATATTATTCTGGCTCCATTTAATTCACAATAACGTTATACTTACTAAGCCTTATCTTGTTATTTATAAATGAAAGTACTGGAACATAATATAAATAAAGAAACATTAAGTAGTAGTAATCCGATTAATTTGTAGGATAGTTTATTACTTTTTGATCGTACCACATTCTATATTATTCAACTCGAGCCTACGCACAGGCCACTAGTGCCCATATAGTCTCGTTTCCCATCAAATTTATTTTTACGTTAAGGAACCATTTTAATTTAATTTTATTAATTATGTTACATGAATTCAATGTAATAAATCAAATTTTTCTCATTTTAGCGAATTTCCCATATAGGGAATAAGCTATTACCGTAGTACTCACGGTAAGACCTGGACCCGGGACCGATTTTTTTTTCGTTTTGAGGTCCCCAGAGGTCAAAAACACCATCCGTTCAAATTCATATATATATATATATATATATATTTATATATATATATATATATATGTGTGTGTCCGTTAGCGCGATAACTCGAGCAAACATTATCCGATTTTGATGAAATTTGGTACAAACGTGTAAACCTACGTTTATTCGAACGAGTTCGCGAACCAGCATGATCGGACCATGGGAACGGGGGTTTATGGGGGCTTTTATGGGGTAAAAATGGGGTTTTCCCATTTTTGACCCAAAAAACATAAAATTTTGCAATTTCTTTCGAAACTATTTTGTAGAGCTTAAAAAAACAAATAATTTAGTATATTGAAGCGTTATAATGCGCCTAATGGTTACGGAGAAAATTCCAAAAAATTGTAAATTTAAAATTCCCATGTTATTCTTATGGAGAATAAGCAAACTGTTGTAGTTTGTTTGTTTATAAACATATTTTGCCCAAATTTGGAAAATGTTTTTATTTCTTACTAACTATTAACATTTTACATAAAAAACACTTTTACCCTCCCTGTTGCAGCAAACCTAAGTATGTTTTAAACTGATTCTATTTAAATAGGGAATAAATGTGATATTTTTAAGGAGACATTTTAGTGTAAATCCATTCAGGGAAATGGAAATTCGCTTAGTCTGCAGGTTTGCTGCGGCGGGGGTATTAGTTATATACCATAAGTCCTTTCACATGTAACATTACTCAATTACTTTTATTTATATATACAGTATATATATATATGTATATATTATGCTTCATATATAATTGCTTTCTTGCATTATTTGTTATTTTTGTATTTTGGTGGAAATAAACCTTGATTAGATTAGAGTGCATAAATTGATCAGTTCAATTTAAAAATGTTTTTAAAGTTTGAGTTTTGAAAATTGGAAAAAACAATTGAAATTTGAATGAATTTTATATAATAGGGTCTAAATATTTAAATTTATCAGGATAAAAATGTTCAATTGTAGATAACTGAACAAAAGCATAACAATACACTATAACGTTACCTAAACTAACTCAATTAATGCTTTTTTATACATTAACTTACAAATATTATAAAATACTAAACGTAATTTAGATTTAACTAATTAGATACTTAAAATTATTAAATCTTTTTACGATCTGGGGAAACGTCGATTATAAAATATCAACCAATGCAAGTTAAAGAATCTTAAAAAAAGAAATCTTGAATTAAAATATCGAGTGTATTAATTTATATATTTGATTTACTATTACTAGTTGCAATTAGTTATACAAAGGGTTGCATCACTAAATTCTTCAGAGTCTGATATTTTCCTCTTTATTATTTGTGATATTTTCTGAAAAGAACGAGTCTATTAACATGGTCACCGGGCACAGCAAAGTGAATAAGTGACGATGTAAAGCCGTGTCCCTTCGGCCTTCGATAATCGATTGCATAAACCATCACGATTCCGATAGCTGAAAAGTAGTCGATAGTCATGTGACGTCATTATAAGGTTTCTGTACATGTGAAGAAGTGGCCTCCTTCTTATTGCCGAGTAGCGGCTGCTAGTCCATACGATAATTTGAGGACCATTGCACGATAATTTTTTGGTCTACTCAGGATCGATCAGCTGTCCCATCCGCTATGACGTAATTCCCGCGCGTTATAAGCTATGCCACGTTTTTAAAATTATAAGCTATAGAACAAACGAGATATTATAAGCTGCAGCACATTTGAGCTATGCCATTATAAGTTATGCCACATTTTAAGAAAACCGTTATAAGCTATGCCTCATTTCTACGATTATAAGCTATGGAACAACTTAAATTTTCCATTATAAGCTATGCCACATTTTCAAGATTATAAGCTATGCAACAAATTCGCAATTATAAGCTATGACATTATAAGCTATGACATCGTACCGTCAGGCTCATTTAGTGAACTCATATGTATGAAACATATATACATCGCCTAGCTATAAGAGTTATTTGTTGTGTTTCGTGTATAGTTCAAATAAATAGTTTAGGTTTTTTTATTTTAGTTCATATTCATATTTTATTTAGGGCGTTTTTATTATTATTACCATTTGAGATGGCGACCACGACCACCTTTAACTCCAGGGGGCCCCGGTTCTTTTTTTCATTCTTTTAGCGAATTTCCCTATAGGGAAGTAGCTATTACCGTAGGTCTCATGGTAAGACTTAGGCCCGGGACCAATTTACTTTTTCATGTTGATGTCCCCAGAGGCCAAAAACACCACTCGTTCAAATTTGTATATATGTATAATATATATATATATACAATATACATATATATATATACATATACATACATATATATATGTGTGTGTCTGTGAACACGATAACTTGAGTAATTTTCATCCGATTTTGATGAAATTTGGTTTGAAGGTGTAAGGCGGGATAAACTTGAATGAGTTCGCGATTCAGAATGATCGGACCATGGGAACAGGGTTTTATGGGGTAAAAATTGGGTTTTCTCACTTTTGACCCTCAAAACACAAAATTTCCCAATTTTTCTCTAAACCTTCTTAAAGAGCTTAAAAAAAAACCAATTCAGTATATCAAAGTGTTTTTGTACAGTTATTGGTTAAGGAGAAAACTAAAAAAATGGTAAATTTAAAATTCCCATGTTATTCTTATGGAGAATATTGTAAAATGTTGTAGTTTGCTTGTTTATGGATATCTTTTGATCAAACTTGGCAAATATATTCATTTTATACTAAGCAATAATTATTTTACTTAAAACACACACTTTATTAGTTTCCTTGTAGCAGCAAACCTAGGTACTCGTTAAAGCTAATGTTATTTAAATAGATCAATTGAAAATCAATTCAGCCAAATGGAAATTCGCTTAGGCGTCAGGTTTGCTGCGGCGGGGGTATTTTAGTAAAAAATTGGCGACAGCTGATCCATATAGATGGGATGTCTTCTTCTGTATCCAATAGTCAATGTACTTAAAAACATTTAATACAACTAAACAAAAAAGTAAATTGGTCCCACCCGGTTCTAGGTCTTACCATGAGACCTACAAGGTAATAGCTTATCCATCCCTGTATGGGTTATTCCCTAAAAACCTATTACATAATAATATGCTACACAATGACACTATAAATAGATTGGATAGTTTAAACAGGTAATAATTTTTTTCATTTTATTTATTTCAATATTCATTTACATCTTTAACATTCTTAATACAAACTAATGAAAATCTCTTAAAACCTACAATCATGATACAGATTAAAATACATGATACTGTATTTTTTGAGAGTGTATTTTTCAGTCAGTGTGTCACACAAAACACAATCTCTGTTCAACCAATCATTCTTAGGGTTGGTTGTCTTGAAGGAGTGGAAATGGTTCAGGAAAAGTGGGTAGGGTATGGAAATAATAATCCCAGGTATTTCGATGATTCAGTTGTTAAAATATTTTGGGTTTTCTCACTTACTCGGCTCAGTTACTCAGCCCTCTTATTCCTATTTGTATGATTGACTTCTCTCTCTACAAACAAATTAGTAAAATATATCTTGTAAATGTACAATTTTCTATAATAATAATCTAAGAGAATCAATGATTTATGGCAATAATAAAATATTATATCAATTTGGTTGGAGAGTACCATAATTACAATAACAAATAAATACTACAGCATGTTAAATATACAGTTTCTGGAATGTAAGAAAAAGAAGGATAACATGTCTTAAGACAAATTGAAGATATATTAATTATCGATAGTTTAGAGCTTAAATTCTGCTCATTCCCTGATGACCCATATTGTGAATTCTGTTTTAACTTATACATTATATGGCCCATATTTGTTTGGACATATCCCTGCATCGTGATGGAAAATAAAAAGCTTTTAGACTTATTCCACCACCAGGACCAGCTGATTAATAATGCACATGTGTTAATGTCGTACAGCAGCTGTTTATGTGCCGTAAACAGCAAATAAAAAGATCACAAAACGTACAGTAGTTCTCATTAATTTGAAGTTTTTAGCCTTAAATATAGTGACTTACAAAAGGTAGCCAATAACTTCAATATTTTCAGTAGGCCTATGCTGTTTACGTTTTCGAGCTTTCCTTATCACATAACTCAACAAATTATCATAAACATGGTTTTTAAGTTTTGAAATCATATCAACAATTAATTTATCAAATTTTTATCCCCAAACTCTGACATGCTGATCCCAGGAACAAGTTGTGACGGCCATTCCGTTGGCCGACACGGACAGCGAAGTGATTCTGTTCTCATGACCGGCTAGGCAACCTAAAAAAAATATATTATTTTAATTGATGAAGATTAACTTGTATTATCTCAACACAACTCTTTATTTGCCTTTTCACATTTGACGAGGACAATTTCCAATATTTCAATCAGGGGAGCCTTTTTATCGTCTTTAACCATAAGACCAAAGCTACCTTAGTAAACCAATATTTATTCACAAACATGTTAGCTGCCTTTAGCAGAGTTAAACCTCTGGAGTCATTCAAATTATTTATTGAAAATAACACCAACAAAAGCCAACAAATACAAACAACAAACTGTTTTTTTACGCAAAAGATATGTTGTAGTGGGATATCTATCCTGACACATAGATAATTTGATTCTGGGTGAAAGTGTTATGCATCTTTAATGCTTGGACGACCAACAACTTATGCCCACTCTTACCTTTTCCAACTTTCCAAAAAAAGTATCTTCTATTCCTCTTTGTAATATTACTTGTAAACTATTGGAAAAAAATACACTTGCAAACACAAATTTTCATCTACATGCCATAGACACTGAGAAAAGTTATAGAATTAAGATTAAAGTGATCAAATATAGTCCACTCGTAAAATGGTCTGACAGCCCTAGTGGAAGACATCAATAGAAATCAATAGAAAAAATCTATTGATATCACTAAATGCTTAGTGATATCAATAGATGTTCATGGATATCATTACAAGTAAATACAAACAAATAGACATCACTGAAAACTTAGTCAATACATATCACTAGACATCTATAAACATAAAATATATCAATATAGATCATTTGAGCAAACAAATCGTTCATTGATATCAATAGAGAATATTTTTTAAATATGTTAGATGTAAATATAAATCAATAGACATCAATACGGATAAATAAAATGCAAAATATTTCTAAAATGTATCACATATGAACATCATGGATTATACAAAATACCAATGTAAACTTTGTGAAATAAACAGTAATAAAAATGTTATTTTTTGAAAAAAGGAAAAACTTTAGTTCTAGGTCATAGGCGTTAGCTGAGGTACCTAAAACTCAATATAGGTAATTTAAAAATATATAATTTTAAAATTGTTGTAAAACAGTTACAACTTGTATTAAAACTTATTTTTTAACTGCCAAAAACTGATTGCTAAACATTAAAATTGTTGTAAAACAGTTACAACTTGTATTAAAACTTATTTTTTAAACTGCCAAAAACTGATTGCTAAACATTAAAATTGTTGTAAAACAGTTTACAACTTGTATTAAAACTGATTTTCTTAAACTTCAAAAAAGTGGTTGTAAAACAATTTTAAAATTGTTGTAAAACAGTTACAGCTCGTATTGAAACTTATTTTTTTCAACTCCAAAAAACTTATTGTTAAACAATTTTAAAATTGTTTCAATCTTATATCAAAATTGTTGTAATATGAAGTTTAAATCAAAATGTTTTAAAATTGTTATACAACAATAATTATTGTAATACAGCTTTCGACAACTTTAAACAATTTTTTTGCTTATTGGGTTATCGTTAGGGATAAAAATCCCTCACAAATTCATTATTGAATTCCTTATTTCTAGAAATCAAAAAAAATAAATTGTATTGACACTATTCATATCACCCAAGTAGCAAGAAAACAGTTTGAACTGGTAATAAAACAGTTTTGAAACATGTTAAAGCATATAGGTACATGCTTGAAATGACACAAATGCCATTGAAAATCTTTTTCAAGTTAAATTATGAGGCCTACCACAGCTTCTCGCATTCAAAATGGCTATCATTACTCATTCCAACATGAAGCGTCCGTGGTGTAATGGCTAAGACAACTGGCTTCCATGCTGGAGTCACCGGTTCAAATCTCGGGAACCCACTGAACTTTTTGCCAAGAATTTTTTTAGTTTTTAATTTTTATTTTATTTTTAGTGCATAGTTGATATTATTTAATGTTTTGAAACAAATTAAAAATGGTTTTTTAACAAGCTACAAATTATTTTCAAATAAGCTAATGACTCGGATCCTATTTACTTGTATTGATATGTATAGATGTGTATTGATGTGTATTGGCCCAAATACACATACGTATCAATACGTATCAATATACAATATTTGTATTGATATATAATGATCTCTTCCACTAGGGAGAGAGATTGGAGATTTTCACTACACTAACACACCATGTATTTAAAGGAGAAGACAAGTGGATTTTATGATGAATGATCTTGAATATATAGGATGACAGCTTTACTGACTAAGATCGCATGTGCAGCTGCACAATGGAAATTTGACATCAATCAATTCTCATCACTCCAAGTTCAACGATGTTTCATTTGGATAAATGCTATTTTATGCTAATTTTGATTTGATCGTTACATTACCCACCGTTGTGTTGGTTTTTCATGGAGTCCCAGATGTGTACTGAATGATCATCGCTGCCGCACAATATGAAGCGACCGCTAGACGACAGACCACAACAGGTGAAGCCTGAAGTCTTGTTAGGAGGTTCGTACAACGCTATTTGCTGGTCAGAGCGGATGTCATACATTCGAGCTGTCTTGTCCTCCGAGCCTGTTGCGAAGGCAAATCCGTTCGGGTGGTACTACCGACAGAAACAGACAATGTTTGACTTATTTTTCAGTATCAAACTATATTGATTTTTATAACAGTATTTTTACCAGGAGCTATCATTCACTGATTCCTACCTAGTTCACCCACACCCACTGGTCAATTTAGTCATAGCTCAACATGAGGCCGTAAAATAATACAACGTCCGTTGGTCCACATAGATGACCCTAATTACGGGTGGCGTCATAATGTAATCCAGCTACTATAGGAAGTTACGAATTGTGGATATTTACAGGCATGCACTGTGGATGCGATACTCCCTGGTGTGGATTAAAGTCTGCACGAGTGAGTAATACGACTATCCACAGTACTATCCTTAAAAATTTGACCAATTCGTATACCAAGGCAAAAATGTGGTTCGGATTCCAGTATAAGCTGTAGGTCCCTTAATTGCCATTAACTGTATGGGCTATTAATTAAAAGAGCTGTGTCTAAGGAATAAGTCGGCCTTAGTCACTAACAAGACTACAAGATCGCGCCACTCATCCTACACTCATCTCCATTCATACTTGGCTTAAAATACCTACTTTGTACGATCGCCATTTCATTGAAAAAGTATTAAAGTATTTATAAAGAGTTTAACAGTGAATTTTACCTCAAATATATGACAACAGCTTCACGGTGGCAAACAGTTTGGATGTTAACATTCCACTCAACACATGTCATCTCAATATTTTAATGATTTCACTACAGAAAAGTGTATCTATTATTCTGAATTACACTTTAGCCACTTCCAATGTACATGAATGAACAAAGTCTACTCACACAGACAGAGTTTACGTCGGCCTGATGTCCGAAGAAGACTTGCTTGCAGGTGTTGTCTCGTAAGTCCCACAGTTTGCAAGTCTTGTCTACGGATCCAGTGACGTAAGTGTTCTTGTCTGGAGACAGACTCATAGAGACAACATCTCCTGCGTGTGCCTTATCAAACTCAACTGTCTTCACTCCCTTCTCCAGGTCCCAGATGCAACTGTAATATTGAGTTTAAACAAATAAGTATAAAAATTATTAATCTGTTACTTTGAACAAACTATAAGGTTTAGCTATACCTCAGTAGACATCAAACCTATAATACCCCTGCAGCAGCAATCCTGTTGACTAAGTGAATTTCCATTTAGTAATTGCAATTTAATAGATTTAAAATAAAATATTTCCTCCCTTAAACATGTCAAATTTAACATATAGTGCTTTAAATTACCTTTGTTCTGTCCAAAACGATTCTGTAGTTCGTAGTGACTGCAGCTGTTTCGTGCTGCAGGAGCACATCTTCAGGTCGGGAGAATGTCAAGCAGTCATTAGATATTCCTGATGATGGAGTTCGTCAAAAGTTTATAGTACTGTAGTAAATAAATAACGTAGACACGGCATAAAAACACAAAAACACGAAACTGAACAATTAACACTGGTAGACCAGTTGGTAACAAAACACGTGATACGGCACCGGTTGAGGGCAAGTCGCGACTCAGTAGACTCAGTAGTTTTGGACAGAACAAGGTAATTTAAACCACTATACGTTAATTCAGACGATCCAGAGGCCACACCATCATGATGTCAAATTTATTTTCCATTTAAATAACCTTAGGTTTTTAACAAATATTTGGGTCTGGGCTACAAGGAATGATTGAACTAAGTGTTTTTTGTTCTTGTAAAACCTTATAGTAGTATGGTATAAAATTAATAAATTTGCCAAATTCGATCAAATAACATCCATAAACAAGGAAACTGCAACAATTTACTTTTTCTCCACAGAACATGGGATGTTTAAATGTAGGTACAGTTTTTGGAATTTTCTTTGTAACATAATAATTGAAAATTTAATTGTAATTTGTAATATTGTACAACATCACTTTAACAAAATTATTTGTTTCATAAGTATTTGCTCTACAAGATGGCTGTAATGAAATTTCGGCATTTAAAATAGGCTTCTATACATTAACCTTTAATATAAACCAATATATAGCATAAGGAGCTTTACTCAAAAAGTATCATGACAGTTATGGGTCCACTTAAGAAATGTAACTGTTACATTTTCATATCACCAGATCCTGTGATGATTGTTCTGTCATCAATGAACCGGCAAGACGAAAGGAAGCCCTCATATCCGAGCAGTTCTCGCACAAGTTTGGGAGCCCCGGTTGAATCCCTGTTGTTGACATCGTAAACTGTGCACATGTTGTCCATACCTCCACAAGCTGTAAACAACAATGAATAATTGAATTATTGTTTTGTTGACACACAATGTAATCCTTAATTAAGTCTTCGGGCTTTGCCCCACAGGCCATCAAAATCCCAATGTATTTCTTATGAAGAAAAGATTTTGTTTGCTTAAACAGACGAATAATTTGTATTAATTACAGCTGTTCATATTAAACACATGATACACACAAGAATGTTCGTTTTCAGTTTCGATAGAAGGAGTGGAGTGAGCGTTCGTTTTCAGAGTGAGTTCGTTTACTTTGTTTCCAGCTTTGATAATTGGAGTTGAGTGATTGATTACATTATCTTTGAGTTGACTCTTTTAAGTCAACAGAAATTGTGACTGTTATTAGTTAAAAAAAGAAACGCCTTTAATATTTTGCAATATTGCTCGAATTCGAGCAACAGGTGCACTAGTATCAAATAATACTTGATATTAAATAAAGCACTTTTCTTATCACCAGTCCTAATAATGACCTTAACAAAAATACATTATATGCTTTATTTGCTTCTTAAGAATGCAATTGCACTGACAAACAATACAATCTTGCTCCACGACATAGACACTCCCATTCCCAGGTTGAAGTTAAAGTCAGTGGCGGTTCCAGGTGGGGGGGGGGGGTATATTGACTAACTTTAGTAACTTTAACTCCCTAGGTAACTTTTTCTCAGGTATAGGGTTATGACAACATTTCTACTCCCCTGGACTTTTCTTTTTTAGGACCCCCGGACCCACTCCTAGTGTGTCTCATCCCTGTTGCACCCCCCCCCCCCTTTGATAAGGTCCTAGAACCGCCACTGATTAAAGTTGAATCCAGTTTCAGAATAACTTAATCAATCAAGCCTCCAAGGTGTGCTGATGTAAAATACCATTCTCTTCCTTTGACAACTTTTACCGTCCAAATATAAAGGAGAACTAAAAGTGTATTTTATAAATCATAATTAACTGTATCATAGTACCTATGAAAAACTGGAATAGAAAATATAACTCAAATGATAGCACATAGTTTTTAGAGGATTTGGTAGGTATGGAATTTGTTGTTTGAACACTAACCAACAAAGTTTCCGCTCTCTGCAAACGCAACACTCATCACCCAGGAAGATCGAAGAGGGATTACTTGGACTTTGTTGCCGGTCCAGGTATCCCAAATGATCAGCTTGCCATCCAGGGATCCTGTCACTGCATGCCTGGAATATCAGCTCACATAAATGCTTTTGTCTAGAATTTGTGTTTATGGTTTTAAGCAAATCAAGAGTGAAATTGCGATTCTTATTGCAACCGCAACTATAAATTAATTAGGTACTAAGTTCACTTGTGAACACATTTGACACAAAACACTCAAAGTAAATTGCTTTCTATTTCTATCATTACTAGAGATTATCCAACTTGTAAGATACCTGCTATCTCCGCTGTAGTGTACTGAGTTGACTTTGTTGATGTGTCCCTTCAACATCTTCTTGGTGGTGAGTCGCACCTTGGGCGGGTCAGCCATATCCCCACAGATGTCTTCAAGCTTCTTGTCCGCCACTTTAGCTTGTTCTTCCTGCCAAAGATCAGGGTTTTAGTTCAACTTTATCAGTTCTAGCTAAGCTTCAGAGAAAATGAGAAACTCTCTTGTCCCTTGCTCCTCTTCCCCGTAGTCTTGAAGACCAGTGAATCCTGAAATTTGCTTGTGTGTGTGTTTGTGTGGACATGAAAGATTTCAGTTGAAATTGAGAAAGAGAATAAATGTATAAATAGTAGAAACTAAAAGTATGATTTAACTGAGTCCGCTGTCGGATTGTATTTTATCTATTTTGTAGATTTGAACTGAACTTGGGGCTTACTAGAACAAATACAATTTATGAAATTCTACTGTGTATTGGTCTAAGAGGTATGTGTGTAAAATAGTGAAGTATTCAAGTGGGTGTTCATATCTAAAAATGTATTACAAAGACACATTAGCAATTAGATCTATTTTAACTTAGAGACATTCATAAAAAAATTAATATGTTTGTGGACATATGTAGACAAGTAGGGCCTACTATTGGGTATAACATTATGTATTCATATATTGGGAAAATGTGCTAGCAAAATATTTTTATTCACTGTAGTTGATCAATATAAGTTGCAAGGTATATGTTTACATCATTATCTGAAAATTGCATCATGCTTAAGATATATTTACATACTGTATTGTGTTTATAAGAGGAAATTTAATAGCTAGAACAGTGGCTGCCATCAGTAATGAAGCCAAGATAGTAGTTGTATAGGGCTTCCCTCCCTCACTACCCTGCCAACACTTAGCATGACTGTTTTGTGTTCTGCCTCTCTATAGTCTGAGGTTCTAACTTTGACTACCTATACATGCACTTCTGTAAATTATAAATGTCGTTCTCGTGTTAAAATTATTACTGCTGGAGTTTTAATAAGATTCCACTCACAGAATGTGCTGATATAAAATACTATGTTTTTATCATCGACGTCTATTATGACTAACTAATAAAAGTCAATTTATTGTAAGCCATGTCATATCATTTCATTTTTTCAAACAATGGTATACTTTTTGTATGTATTGTTATAGTATAAAATAAACATTATCACTGTTAAACGGTTTGCTCTTTAATACAAGGATGGGGTGCATTCCTGAAGCTTGGTATTATTAACAAATATTATTATTAACAAATTTGGTTTTACATTTATTTATATAAAAAACTATATTTGAAATAAATTGGTTGAAATAAATTTGATTTATTTTCGAATTCTTACTTCAATTTAAGATGTATTTCACCAGTTATAATTATTTAATCCTATATATTTTAGTCTAAGAACCTTCAGTGAAATAACTGGCTTTCATTTAAGCTATATATTAATTATTCAAATCGGACGAGTTTCAAGCAAACGCAAGGTAAACTATCAACATAAAAATACTTTTATAAGGTTTTTCTATGATGAAAAATCAATAACTCCAGTATTGTTTGTGTTTTATTATATGTTTTAGACTAAAAATAATCAGTAAATCATAGGCTTTAATTTGAGCTATTGATCGTTTTAATCAGTTAAGTTCGAGTACTTGTATTATTCAATCAAAAATCATAAATTTGATTATTTCTCGGATATTATATTTATTTTTACGCTGTGGAGCTACATGGGTCCTCATCTAGTGTATATTAAAATATTCATTTAAAATAACTCCCACTTATGTTGGAAACCGGAAACTGACTAAACCCAGCTAAAATCCTAAAACTTATCACATGTTTGTTTTTTATCAGAGGTATTTTTTCTACTTGTGTTTTAGTGAGGTCAACAGTTTACTATCTAATAAGATAGTCACATCTTGATGCATTCTATTGTATACAATACGTTTAATGTCTTGTTCTGTACAAGTTCTATTGTATTATTTACTTACTTTCATTTTTTTGATCAAATCATCCAATTCCTTTTTCAGCTGTGTGGTTTCCGGATCGTCTTTCGGCATTTTTGTTATTCTAAATCTGAAAAATTAAAATGAGTTTTGAAGTTATTTAAATAGAATAACTCTAAAGAAATTAATTACCAGAATTAAAGCCTATATAAGTTTATTATTTTGATAAAAAAATTACATCCCAACAAAAGTAATTCTCTCCTTGTAGTTAAAAAAATAACAAAGAGAGCAATCAGCCTATTAGCCGAAGAATGGGGGGCTTTGGTCCTAGAGATTCTGGGTTCAAATATTGCCAATCACCAATATGGATCTATATGGAAATACTGCAACAATAAATCTAGCCTGAAGTATATGTAAGAACTTCTAATTTCTAATAGACCATACCTAGCAATAGAAAAGAAAATAACCGGTGTAATCACTCATGCTTTACTGAGATACTTAATTAGCTTCTGAATTGTTTAGAAGAATCTATTGTAATGAATCAACTGGTTAGTCTTATTGATTTTAGTCGGTTTTTCATTCTTATAAAATATATTTTTTACATAAAAAAATTTACAATTTTGATTTGGATGACGAAATAGTTTTAAGCCATAATTCTAAAACTTGATCAAAACTAGATGTATCTATTTTTTTATTGTTTTAAATTTAAAAAAAAAATTACTTGTATAAGCGGAAAGCATCATACTGTATCTGACAAATATTTAATTCACGTGCATGGAGATTTTTGCTCAAAACAAATTTGACAAGCAAAGTGGCCAATGGTTATAAATGAAAAATATTACAGATGATAAAGAAAGAGAATGAAGAAAGAAAGGAGAAAACCTTTCACACACTTAGCTTCTTAAAAATAATAATAATTTTTTTCCAAAAAAGAATCCCCATACGCTTTCCCCAAAAAAGACACATCCGTCAGTTCAGTTTAATTGTTCAGTTTGCTGCGGGTATTATTGTATTTAATACTGTACTTTTACCTATCTAAGTTGTAATCAGAATATAATAATTCAATTTTTTAGTTTGTAAGATAAATTAACCAATTTTTAAACAGAAAAAATATATAATATAAAAGTGTTGATAAAATAAGAAAGTAACTAAAAACATCAATAAATAAACATACCTGGGCTAGAAGTGTGTAAGAAGAACTGTATGCCACAAGGGCTGGTAGCGTGCTTGTGCTAATCAGCTTACACCAGGGGCTTATTTGATTAACTTTATACTTTAACTGGCTTACACTCTGCCATGCCAGACCCTTCCACAAGCTAACAGGTCTTCCTGTATAGTGGTTGCATCAACACACTATTGTATAGTGCACTCATCCACACTTTGAACAGCAAGAATGAATTAATGTTCAAATACATTTCTTGATAAAAAAAAACATGCCTTATAAATTTCTTTATGCAAGTTATAAAATTGGAAATAACGAATGATGAATCTGATATGATTCTAAAATTAGTCAGAGTTATTATATAGGTATGTTCTTATAACATAACAAATTGTAATAGAAAAAGATTTTGGGGGTTGTCTATGTGTAACTAATATGAGTGTAACAAACTATCAAGCTAATTTCAGTCCCTTCATACATTGTTGTTTCGTAAAACTAAGCCCCTAACTAAAATTAAATAAATTGCCAACTAACTGCCAATTTATTAAGATACGCTACACTGCATCTGCATGGGCCTATTTGATCCCAAATGTGAGTAAAGGCATGTAAAGGGTAGGTGTACAATATGAAAGAGATACCTTTGTGTCGCTTTGTTGTTTCTGACTATAAGAAAATATGTTTATTTAGCCACGATAATTTATTAAAACTCAATGAGCAGTCGTTACTTCTTCAACGCACCTAATGTTTGGCGACTACGGTACTTGGCCAAGTTTTTGTACAAATGTCGTTTTTTGTATGTATGTTTTGTCTGTCCTGTCTCAGAAGAGTTGTTAATGCTGACGACCTCATTCATTGATGAGAAAACTGTTTTAACCCGAATATGTGCTCTTAGCAGCACTAAACAGCTGTATAGTTAGTACAATATAAGGATCAAATTGACACAACAATTAATTAAACTAAACCTTTTAATCTCCTGCAATATCTTGATCCAGAGGTCAATCATGAAAATGCTTTCAATATTTTCATAGCCCAGCAACCAATTAAGCTTTCGTGTTCTTAAAAAAATACACAAATTACTATTAGCTGCATCCAAACAAATCAGCTGTTACAACCCTACTTGCGATATTGCCACTTCGAAGGCCGCGGCCTGGAGTTAAAAAGGTGGCTGTGCCTCAGGTGTCTCCCCCCAATTTTTTTCTCTGGATCTACCATTGCCAATACACACCTAACAACACCTAATAAGACACCTAACAACACCATTTAGACACTCACACACACACACAAAATCCAACTTCCCACATCAACTGACGACTCTCCAGTATCAACGATTGTGAAGAGGAGGACCCATGGTAAATGGTAAATGGTAAATATCTACGAATCCCTTTTGTGGAACTTTAAACACATCTAAATAACAATAAAGTTAAAGACAAAATCCACTTTAGGCCTACTATACATACGAGGAAAAAGTAAAAATAATTAAGGCGCATATTTCTATGCCAGACAATCAATGGTCAACAAAAAGATTTGTATTGTTATGGGGAAAGGATCATAATTTGACTTTGGATGCTGCTGGTAAACAACTAATCATAATATAAAATCTCACGCCTGTATTAACAATAAATATTGCGTGTATCCTGTTCATTACGTTTTAATGCGACAAGGCTGATGCACCTGATGTCGACTAATTTTTATATATGTTCTTATTCTTGATGGATACATTTTGAATTGTATATTTTATAATCGGTAGTCATAATATCAAAGGCTAGCTAGCAGTACAGTAGTAGGTAATTAAACTAAATAGTGAAATGCAAGCAAAAACAAAAACATAGAAATCTTAGAAACCACAATGTTGAGAGTTTGAGTTTCAATATGTGTTGTGGTTATTATTGTGCATTTTCACAATAATCAATCCAACATCTTTCTTGAATGAAGGTCTAAAAGTTCTTCAATATTCTACTATCCTTACTCTATGGTTGGCCGGGACACATGTTTAATTTCACTCACGTGTGGATGTTTGAAGTGTTAAGTTAACCTCAAAAACTTAACCTATTGGGCTTCAATCAATCTCTATTTGTTGTGTTTTGTTGGATTAACTTATATTATTATTGAATTGAAGAACTTACCTTTGGTTGGTTATGTTTGGATTTTGTTAAACTACACTGTGGTAATTTTAACGTCAAATAAATGATTATGGAAAGCCCTGTTGTAAATAAAAATTTGAAACGTAAACGTTTATCATCATCATTCCCAGAATCTATTAAATCACCAAATTTACCCGATTTTATCCAGGGAACATCACTTTTCATACAGAAAATAGGACAGAAAAATGACCAAGAGGTAGGTCCAGTCATAGAATAAGTTACACTATTAAAATTAGAATTTGAATAGCGAATAGGGCCTAGGCCTAGGATAAATGAAGACTAAAAGCTTTGATATCGGACATAACTTAAGTCAATAATTTTAGGATCAATATTGATTTAAAAACTAATGAAATTCTGGCAAAAATTTGATATCGGAATACATTGTGGATTACTAGGCCCACAGTCAATAACTTGCAGCCAGTTCTGTTCCCACAGGCCTAACATTATTTTAGAGTAACTTACCTATTAACTTACTTAGTAGGTCCATATTAAAATAACATTAAGTAATATAAAACCTTACACAATGTGTTATTGTGGTTCTCAAAACCATTAAAGGCCCTAAACAGTTACAGGTCTACAGTTTAACTTATACAACGTTTTCACATCTTGTGGGGCCTAGGCCTTCTCATCTTACTTTACCAGAGCATATTTTAAGGGAATTCCACTGGGTGCCAGACTTAACTTACCGGGGGGTCTGAGAATATGGAATACCCCCCATCAAAAAGGGGGGGCTGGGAGTTCTGGGGGAAATTTTTGCATAAGTTAAAGTGTTTAATCACACATTTCTACGTATCTTTTAATGAATTTTTCTATTATATTTGCTTATAAATATTCTAGCTAGGATAATCTCACTTAATTACGTATTCTAGAACGTTGACACAGGCCAAGGCTCCCTTCACAACCTCTTGGGCCAAAATCATTAGCTCAATACTCAAAAATATTTACACAATATGCCTACGGTAGCCTACTCTAAAATATTTACATAATGTTATTTTTTTAATTCCGATACATTTAAAATGTGAACCATAAAGAAAATATGCCGACACCACCCATAGTCACTGGGCGACAAAATCCCAGCACTGTTATTTTATGCCCTGTACTTTATTCAAAAGTTACTTACAACTTACTTCTGAAGTCTTCTAAGTTAATACATATGAGGTTACATTACCTTAATCACCAAGTGATCCATGTAGTCCAAAACTAGGATTACGTATGTTTTGACGTCAATGCGCCATTGTCAAATCTACAAACACTTTTTTAAACCATAAGGGGTACGTCATAGTCTTTCCGACACACAGGAACGAAACAATAACGGACAAAAATACATTTTAGTAGGCCTACTAACTAATTTATGGTAAACGGTCGTCACAACATAGTACAGATCTGATCGCATGCCGAGATTCGACATGCTAAAAGTGAGTCAAGTCTCGGCATGCGATCAGATCTGTACTATGTTGTGACGACTGTTTACCATAAATTAGTTAGTAGGCCTATATGTATTTTTGTCCGTTATTGTTTCGTTCGTGTGTGTCGGAAAGACTATGACGTGACCCTTATGGTCCTTATGGTTTTTTGGTGGTTTAAAAAAGTTTTTGTCAATCATTTTAGGATCAATATTGATTTAGAAACTAATGAAATTCTGGCAAAAATTTGATATCGGAATACATTGTGGATTATTATGAACAATGGCGCATTGACGTTGAAACGTACGTAATCCTAGTTTTGGACTACATGGATCACTTGGCGATTAAGGTAATGTAACCTCATATTATATCTCAGTGATTCAGTAAAAACAACATACAGCATGAAGTCTTCTCCACAATCGGGTGATTTGGGAATTGTCATGAGGGCCATTCCATGTCAAGTCATCCAGGGGTTGTCACCCACTAGTCACAGATTTTTCATGAAAATTTGTACACATAATTTAGACATTTAGATAGGATAAAATCCAAAATTTCAGTTCATTATGTCAAACGGTTTCAGAGATATGGCTACTTAAAGTTTTGAAAGAATTTAGTTTCCGAGGTCCAATTTGACGCTAAGGGAGCGTGCATGTATTCTCGTCTTTCTATGTAGAATGGACAATTTTTAAGCTAGAGGCCTCAAATTTGACTCATATATCCAAAATTCAATGCAGAATCATAAAATACAATTGAAATAATAACTAGGGTATTACCTATTATCACAAAAAAAATTCCTAAATAGGCCTACAAATAATTAGATTTTTCCGAAATCGGAACATTGAGTTACAAAAGGTTTCATAATTGCTTGTAAAGCTATAATTAATTAGCCTTTATTTAGGTAAAAGTAATGTAGGGTATAGGACGATTTATTTTATCGTTATTTATCGTCGTCGAGCAATAAGGTATCCTTTTTGTAAGTAAAATTTTAATTCATACAAAAATAACAACTTAAGGACCCAATATTTTGTTTGATATTTTTAGATTTCTAGTCTTTTGCAAACAAATATATATTAAATTGATGAACCTTTTGTATTATCTTAAGTTCATCATACATCTTCGGCTTCAATTGAAATTTTTAGCTTAATAAAATTTAATTTTTGACTTTCACGTCTGAAAACAATGTTAATACTCAAAACCCCACTCATGTTATTATACCATTTGAAAGATAATTTTATCCTCTTTACAGTGATATGTAGTTTTATAGGCTGGAGAGAGATTTTGGCTATAAAACGTTTTATAGCTTAGTGTTCCGATTTAGGAAAAATCAAATTATTTTTATTCAGGAATTTTTTTTGGGTGATAGTAGGTAATAGTATACATTTCAATTGTGTAATATGATTCTGCACTATGTTTTGGATAGATAAGTAAAATTTGAAGCCTATAGCTTCAAAATTGTCCTTTTTACATAGAGACGAGAATATATGCATTTCAGTTTAGCGTAAAAATAAGCCTCGGAAACTGAATTTGTGTGAAACATA